TAGCTCAGAAACACACTGTTTTTATTGATAATTAGTTCAGAATGAAGTTATTTTGTTTCTACCAAGAAATCATTGCCATTATAATTAGGCTAATATAATCCAATCCTGAATTTAGCTTAACGTGCGCTCTCAAAACTTCTTTTGTTCTTGTTATTTAAGCATCATTTATTTGCACTTAATGGAAGTTTGAATCTTAATAATTTAGATCTCAGTTATTAAGTGTATTTATTTTTTTAGATCTGGGTCTTAATCATTCAGATCTTAACCATTAAGTTGATTTTTTTTTAAATTTTACAATCACAATGAGTCTGAACTGATCTTAATGATTAAGATCTATAACAGAGTCTTAATATCATTAAAATGTCATACATTAAAGAATTTATGTAAAAATGATATTTCGCTATTACTCATGCATTTCCACGACTAATCACCATTACCACTGCTATCGATGTCCTCTACCATTATAGACTACATCCACCTACTACCCACCACCCATTACCACCATCCTCAGCCACAACCACCACTTCTGCCAAGCATGAATGTCATTTGTCACTACCACCGACCATTATTTACAACCATCACCACCGATCACCAATATCACAACAATCACTATTATCAACCACCACTGTATACACCCACTACTGTTATCACTCACTACCACTATCAACCACCACCATTAACCACTACTGTCATTGATCACCATCTACTACTTATAATCACCACTATCAACCAACACCATCACCAGCCATTACCCAATCGACATCTGTAACCACCATTGTTAACCATCATCATCACCAACTATCATATAATTTTAAAAAAATATTTTGTTAATATAGTATTAGATTAATTGGCACTAATTGATCTGAATTTATACTTATTAATTTTTAAATAAAGACAACTTTCACACATTCAGAGTAGAGAAAACAAATAGTCTAATTATTCAGTATTCAGATCTTAATACAACATCTTAATATTCAGATGTGTATCCAGATTCATACATCTTAATCTTAATGCACATATTAATTTTCAGATGTGTATTCAGATTTACACGTTTTAATCTTAATAAAAATAAACAAGGCCTTAGTTTCTTTACCCGCGTAGGGAGCTACTTGAAAGTGGATGTTTTTACTTTTGCTTTGCTGAAAATTAAGATCAACTGCAAAGCAGATCCTTGCATTGTGCCTCTTGCCTAAACTAGTGATTGTGTTGCTCAGCCACAACAAACTACTTTAAATTGAATGTCTTAATAACATTGAATTGGTCTTGGCTACGTAGACCTTCAGAACGCAGAATTGGGACTCGCCCGGAACTCGTCCCGGGGCGGAGCACTCGTAACGCCCCTGGGCTTATATGTGGGGCTTAGTTTCATGAGACTTACGCCTCGGCCATCGGGACTTACGCCCCGGACATGCCCAACGCTCAGCGTACTGGGCTCGCCTAATAGAACTTTATGCAATTATTTGTAACTAACCTTATAAATCCTCAAATTTTCTTAATAAATTGTTGACTATTCAAAATTACTTTTTTTTCTTCATCATAAATCATTAAGTTGAGAGTATTTTATGTCATAATTAAAATAAAAATTATTGCACGTTATCCATTAAGACTGCTATGATAGTAAACTTTAAATAAATCTTTCATTTAAAAGTATTTATTTATTAACTTTTGTTATATCTTTATTGTATAATAATCCATAATTTTTTTATAATTATTTTCCTACATATTATTTTTTTCACGTTAATGAGATACAATACTTATTAATTTAATAGCTCAGTATTAGCTAGCACAACTATTTACGAATAATTAGTTATCATGGTATATTATGGTGAATTATGTGTCACTTTATTAACTTGTTGAAACTTAAATATAAATGATGCTAGAGAATCATATTTAAATTGTGAATTATACATGTTTTTATATAAATTCTCTTTCAAATTAAAAGCATATTAAATAAAAGGATTATTTTAAAAAAATATCAAATTATAATATCAAATTCTTTCAAGATTCATTACTCATTAAGAGATACATATAAGATTTCGCATCGAATACATTACTTTTGTTGTTTAAGTTGTACGGTGTTGCAGCTAATTTCATATTATGATATATGTCATACTTTTCATATTATTCATAGTCGAATTATAATTTATAAGTATTTTAATTACATTAGTTTTTATAATTTTCTGATTTTAATGTAATTTTTATGGATATTTTTTTTATTTTATTCTATTTTAAAATTCTTGAAATTAATAAAATTTACAGATTCGTGGGATTATGCCCTATGTCTCAGGACTTACGCCTCGCCTCGTCAGAAGTAATGCCTCGTCTTTTAAAACATTGACGTAGACTATAATAATTATCTTCAAAGTTTGGCCAATTAATTTGCTAAAACTCTGACATTTGTAATTTAGCAGATATTTAGTTACATTGTCACGGTGAGAGCTTTCTTGTTGCACAATTTCTAGATTTGATTAGGTCCTCTCTAGTTCTTCCTATCCCAGGTCATTTGATAAGAGGAAAGGGTCCTGGAGTTTTACCTTATTTAACTAATACTTGGTAATCCGCCAATTAAACTACTATTAAGAAGCAAATTCAGTATGATCTTATTATATGTAAACAGTTTTAGATGATTTTTCATACGTTTACATAGTTCAAGCTCAAAAGTAATGGTTTAGTTGAACCAGCATAAGTTGCTTTAGATGCGCGTCTATCCTCGATTGTCACATTACCCGTTTAAATGGAGTGATTTTACTGTCTATTAGGATACTCTCAACTCAGTACCAGGAGCGGCTCAACGGATCTCGTGGCCTAAGGCAAAATCATATTAAGGACCCTTAAATTTATTATATAAAATATTTACACTGATAACAAAATTTGCTTTTTAAATAATAAATTAATCATTTAAGACAAAAAAGCGAATTTAAAAAATAAAAAAAATAGGAAGAAGAGTACAAAAAATAAAGTGGTGGACTACGGGATGTTGAGGTCCAGATTAAAAGTGAAAATATTGAATTGGCTATCATCACAAATAAACGTACGTAACGTAATAGCTTAGGTTTTGAGCATTGACGATGTCAAAAATATTTACTCCTTCTGAATAATTTAAACGATAATTGTAGTTCATTCTATTAAGTAACACTTATTGGTAAATATCTAAAATAATTGTAAATAACCTAATATAATATGTCGAATTACACCAAAAGAAAACTGGTACATGAATGTTTTTGTGTTCATGCAGCTTCAGAGAATATTATAAAAGAAATTCATTATGTTGTCAATATATATAACTTAATTCCTATATAAAAAGGACAAAATTAAAATTAAAGAGTGAAGTAAATATACTAATTAATGAGGGAAGAAAATTATTATAATTGATAAATTTTTTGGTATAAAATAACTTCAATCAAGTAAAAGTAATAATATATTGTAATACTTTTCTTCATACTAATTATTTATATAAATTATATTGTATATGGTAATAATAATAATAATAATAATAATAATAATAATAATAATAATAATAATAATAATTT